GTATGCAGTTCTGGTGTCCTCCGCATAAGAAGGACATGAAAGTGTTGCAACAAATCCAGAGGAAGGCCACAAGGATGGTCAGGGGACTGGAGCACCTCCTGTATGAGGATAGGCTGAGAAAGTTGGGGCTGTTCAGCCTGGAGAAGAGAAGGCTGCGTGGAGACCTCCTAGCAGCCTTCCAGTATCTGAAGGGGGCTTATAAGGATGCTGGGGAGGGACTCTTCATTAGGGACTACAGTGATAGGACAAGGGGTAATGGTTTAAAACTTAAACAGGGGAAGTTTAGATTGGATATAAGGAAGAAGTTCTTTACTGTGATGGTGGTGAGGCACTGGAATGGGTTGCCCATGGAAGTTGTGAATGCTCCATCCCTGACAATGTTCAAGGCCAGGTTGCACAGAGGTTTGGGTGGCATGGTTCAGTGTGAGGTGTCCCTGCCCATGGCAGGGTGGTTGGAACTAGATGATCTTAAGGTCATTTCCAACCTTAACCATTCTGTGATTCTCTGAATCTATGACTTTGAAACAAGTTGGCCTCAAGCACTCTTTTTGCCCCAGAAGTGAAAAGAAATTGTACAGAAATAGTCTGGCTGACAGCTGTCAAGAATACAAATTGGATTCTTAATTGTTTTTTGGCTTGAGGGGAAAATTAATTAAATACAGTATTTAAGAAAATACTAGCTATTTCCCTTACTAGGTTTCTAAAACTACAAACTGTCTCTTAGCGGGTTTGTGAAACTGCAAAGCCCCTCATATTCCCTTTACCTGTTGTCTGTCAAAAGCTGTCCTTTTCATTAATCTTATTGTTTTCATTATTCTTACTATTAATATCTACAAGCATCTAACTTTTGCTAGTAGATTTATAAAAGATACTTATTCAGTTATTAATTCTTCCAAAAAAGGACTTAACTGATAAGAAACACAGTTAAGAAAAAAAAAACCACAAACAAAACAAAACAGGAAAACCCCAATTCATATCTTCTACATAAGATTTATCATGAAATATTGATGTAGAAGTGAAACTTTAGCAAACACATAAGGTTGCAACATAGAGTAGCATAAAATAGTCTATCAGAGTCACCTAATTTTTCTACCAAGGAGGAAATAACAAGTTTCTGGAACACCAGCCTTTAGATCATGGTAATGATGATGATGGTGATAATTGTAGTAATCCAATATCCTGAAGACTACTGGGAATAGACCCTAGGATTTTTCTATATATATTACTCTTTAACATACAGCTTCCTAATAACCCTGAAAGTGTGATAGGCACTCCCACAAAAAAAAAAAAAAAACAACAAAAAAAAAAAAAAAAAAAAAATACCAAACGTAATTCAAGCGATCAGTTGATTGATGGATCACTCCATCTACCTGTCTATTTCGTTTCTGTTAATAAAATAGTGCAAACAATATCAGTATTTTAACAGCATTTTATAAAGAGATAGTTAAGAACCTTTAAAGCATCTTTGGCAAATCTGATGACATTTTAATAGACTGGAAGCTTTTATTTCACTCTATTATTTATCTAACTGCTTTTGCTGATAGCTACATGAGACACAGTGTGCATAAGTACTTCTTATGGCTTTGATGTTACACAGGACTTAGAAACACCCTACAAGCATGAGTTGCATGATTATAGTGGTGTGTGGTTTGATTACTGGGGGAGGGGGGATGTATTTATATGTGTATGTGTGTATATGAATTCTAATTAATTGTAAGTAGTTCCTAACAGATGTATAATAAAAAGTCATAACACTGAAAAAGCTTAAGATAAAACAAGGTCAATAAAATAAATGCTTCTTCCTAAAGAAAGCTGCTTAAGAACTTCAAGAACTTTGAGGATATGAACAGCCTGTTAATGTAAACAGACTTAATCCAGTGAAAAGCTAAACAAGTTTTTTGAAATTAATGTTAAAATGCTTTACATGTATAAATTTTAGATACAAAAATGCTGCTTCGGAAAATGAAAATATCTACAAAACTGAGATCTATTGAAAGATTTGCAAAATGGAGATAGAGGAATAAGACTCTTAATGTTCTAAGAGTAACACCATTTGTGCCTGATGCAAAACGCACACTTTTTCTTCAAAGGTATAACAAAGATTTGACCTGAACAAACCTTTCACAGGAGATGTGATACCCAAAATAAAGAAAAGATTAAGCACAATAGTTAAACTTGCCAAGCATAGGTAGTTGTGTGACAATGAACTAAGGGTATCTAAAAGCCTGATTCTATCCAGTGTCTTAAAAGAAGGCACCTTCCACTGACAGGGGGGGAGTGAATATTGTATAGCAGTTAATGTCAGTCATTTCCAAGTTTAAGCTATCTTTTTAAGACTAGAAGGTACTAGTCAAATTATTCATGTCAACATAGTGAAAACAGCAAACCACTGATCTAAAGGTATATTTGATGGTGAATTAAGTAAAAATGAATGCCTTTTACTGAACTGTCCTGATTTCAGATGATAGGATAGTTAGTTTACTTCCTAGTAGCTGCTACAGCATGATGTTTTGGCTTTAGTCTGAGAACAATGATGGTAACTTACCAATGTTTTAGTTGTTGCTAAGTAATATTTACCCTGATCAAGGACTTTTCAGTTTCACATGCTCTGCCAGTGTGGAGGGGCACATGGACCTGGGAGGAAGCAGAGACAGGACACCTGACTGAAACTAGCCACAGGGGTATTCCATACCACAGCATATCATGCCCACTATACAAACTGGGGGAAGCTACCTGGAAAGGCCAAATCACTCAGATCACTGCTCGGGTATGGGCTGGATATTGGTCAGTGGGTGGTGGGTAATAGTATTGTGCAACACTTGTGTTTGTTGGATTTTTGGGGGAGGAAGGGGGATGTTATAATTTATTTTTTTTTTATTTCCCTTTTCATTATCACTGTTATGATTAGTACTAGAGTTATTTGCGCTTTATTTTAATTATCAAACTGTTCTTATCTCAACCTATGAATTTCACCTTTTAATGAGTCTCTTCCTTATTCCACTGCAGGGGAGCTGAGGAGTGTGAACCAGGGGCTGTGTGGCACATAGTTGCCACTGGGGTTAAACCACAACATGAGGCAGTGTAGGAAAAATCCAAAATAAAGTAAAAATTATTTGATTTTGACATTGAACTTAGCTAACTTCAGCTTGTCCTTGTTTCAATTTACTGAGTAAAAGATTTTTTAGCACCAGAGTTGATCCTAAATATATCCTATATTCTATAATGTTTCAAGATCCTAAATCTATCCTAAATTATATCCTAAAATTTGTTTTAAAAAGACATACTAATAGACTAATAAACATAATTATAAACACAGTAACAAGTGTATTAATAAACATAGTAACAAGCAAAGTAACAATGATAATATCAAGATCCGGAGGCCAGCTCCCCACTTGGGGAGATGCTCCAGTGGGTGGGGATTTGCTGGCGGAACTGAGGAGTGAGCCAGCAAGGCCTCCTGCGAAGGCTGGGATGGGTCTGAGGGCGCTGCTCTGGCTCCAGGGTGAGGTGGTGGAATCTTCTATCCAGAGCAGGACATGGTGGTTCTGTCCTTGCCGCTGCCAAAGTGGTGCTGGGGCTGCAGGGTGGAATGCCAAGGCCAGGCAGCAGAGTGCATGCAGGGAATCCAAAGCAGTAAATGGGCACCTACAAGGGCAGAGTCAGAAAGCGCTGATGAAGCCATGAAGGCAGGAGCAGGTAGGACTTGGCTCCTGGGTTTTTCGGAAGTATGCTGTAAAAGAGGTCATTGCTAGCACAAGAGAGAGGCTCCTTATTGGTTCCTAACTGACAACTACAGTGCTGCTTTGGTACCTTCTCAATACATGTGATACCCTCAGAGCATGGAAAGTTGACAGAGATGTGCAGTGCCACCCTGCCAGGCAGCAGGGCTCAGCAGGGAGCCTGGGAATCTGGGATATGGTCCTTTCCAAAATCCAAGCAGCAGCATCCCTTGCTTTGCCATACTAAAATCACAGGTTGGCAGGCAATGCTGGGGTAGTATGTTTCGCCTGACATACTTGTTTCCCCGAGGGCAGGACCATGCTGTGCACCTCAGGAGTGTTTCCTATACTCAGAGCTTGGCAAAAAGATGGAACACAGGCTCTGCTACATACCTGGGTGCCCTGCTCTTCCCCTGCTTGAATTTCTTCAGTTGCCCATCCCTGAGAACTCAGTTTTGCTCTTCTTCTGGCACAGTGGCCTGTCGCTGCCCTCTTCCCAGGCTGCTCTTCATTTCCTGGTGTTGCGTGAAGAGCCTGAGAACCTTTCCATTCAATAGTATTGTGAGACAGGTGAAGCCATGATTACCCTGAGCCAAGCAAAGCCAGGCAGTTTTACCTTTTCTCCCTGGAAAAGCTCCTATGCTGTTTGCTCCTGGGAGAAACAGGAGGCACCTGCAATGGAAATGTGTATGTTAGCAGGGGGCAAGGACCTCCATGCACAATTGCTCTGAAAGGCACATCCCTTGGATGGGTTTGGTCAGCTCAGCTGAGCCAGTTGTGGTGGGATCACCTCACAAAGCAGGATGGCCAACCTGCATCAGCCTTGCTCTGCACTTTGGCAGAGCTGCAGGCTGGTGGATGACCGTGCTTGTCCCTGCAGCAGCAGCAGCAGCCCCACCTTCTGAGGGGGGAGGCTTTTGTTGTCACACTTCTTGTGCACTTCACTTACCTCTGCTGTTTCCAACTCTGCTTGTGCTGCTGGTGTCTCCTCATCCCCCTTGCTGGCCAGCCTAGCCACCTGCTCTCCAAGGAGTTTCTCATGGTGGTCAATAAGGAACTCGATGTGCTGCGTCACCTGCACACAGCAAACCCCTGGATTCACTGAGAGGGCTGATGAGGGCTCAAACAGCCTTTCCCAGCCTGACCTGTGCTTCTGTGCAGGAAGGTGCAGCTGTGGGGCTGTTCTTCTCAGCTGCTGACCCATGGCTTTGCTGACTGGAGGAGGCAGCCAGGGACCTCTGAGCAGCAAAGATGGGCTGGGCTGGGCTGGGGACCAGCCCCAATGCCTGTGGGAAGTGCTCCCCAGAGAGAAAAGCTTTTTGGTACCTCTTTCCTCCCAAACCAAAACCCCACAGCAGCAGGAGGTGGCTTGCAGGAGCCATGGCTATTTCAGGCAGGCCACTGCTATGCACTGGAATCCCAGCCTGTGCCAGTCCCTGGTGGCTGCTGCAACCCTTCCTCTCTCAGTGCTGCCAGCCTGTCCTGCCTGCTGGTCTTCTCCATGGCTCTCATCCACTCTTCGTATAGCTGGATTTCAAGGAGCTTGGAGAGGACGTTCCAGAGGAGGTCCTGCAGTGCCAAGGGCTCCATGTGAGGCTTTGGCCACTGCACTCTTGGTGCATCCGCAGCATCCCTAGCCCTCTGGCTCATGAGCAGGCAGCTGGGTTTCTGCTTGTGCTCCCACAGGCGCTCATCAGCACCAAGAGAGCCAGGAGCTGCAGGGCTCTGGGTCAGCAGGGCTCACCTTCAAGAGGACAGCCAGCAGCAGCACAGGCTGGTTTTCCAGCTGCACTGGCACCCCACTGTCCAGGGCCTCCCTGACCTCCCGGCAGGCGCGCTGGTTGGCTGCCAGCTGGAAGATCCCCTCCGTGGATGGGCCATGTTCATTGAGCAGAGCCAGAAGGTCCTGAGGGCACAGAGGAGGAGAGTTGCTGGGCTGGAGACAGGCGCTTAGATAGGTGCTGGGGACAGCCTCTCCCTGGAGGAGCCAATGGGATGGGATAGGATGGGATGGGATGGGATGGGATGGGATGGGACGGGGACCCCCGCAGCCAGTCTGGCTTACCTTGATGGGCTGTGGCAGCATGCCGTCCTGGCTGCAGAGATCTGCCAGGGATTGGCCAAAGAGAGCTCCCACACCAGCAGAGCCCGATGGCCCTGGTGCCTCTACTGCAGCCAAGCAGCCTCCTCCTGCTCCTGCGGGTCCTGCCTGCTGCCAAGGGAAACAGAGTAAAGAGCTGTGGAGGAGAAGCACCAGGAGAGCCCTCCCAGACTCCCCCAGTGCTGTCCCCCCACCACCGAGGGCATGGGAGACTCAGCATCATTTGGAATCTAGTGGCCCTGGGGCTCAGCTCTCTCCTCCTGCAGAGTGATGGGGATGGACGTGCCCTGCGGGAAGGGCAGCAGCATTCCCATTTCCACACACGTGCCAGCCTGCAAGAGCAGGAGAGAAGGGCGATCCTGCCCCTGTCTTCTCCACACTCACCATCCACGTGGCCATGTAAACCCTCACTACTGGAGAGGACAGGAACTGGCAGCTGCCTGGCACCAGCCTGCAAGAAATGGGCTGCACTCACCAAGGAGCCACACAGCAGAAAGGGTCCCTGGACAGCTGCATCAGCCCCTGGCTGTGTGTGAGAAGTGGGGATGGGTGAGATTGCACTGCAAGGGACCCTGACCTGGACTTGGCGCTGGAGCAGCTTCTCCACGCTGCTGGCATCCAAGAGCAGAAGGTGAGGAGCGATGCAGCTGGTGCTGGGCTGGAGGAGCCCCTGGGGACAGAGCAGAGGCAGGAGGGACACTCACAGCATGGCGGCCACTCAGCTCCTTCATCACCACCCTGATGGATGGCAGCTGGGTCACCCAGGCTCCCTGAACTTCTTCCGGTGGTCTGTGCATGGGGAAGGGGCAGAGAAAGAGCTGTGTGAGACCCAAGCCAGCTCTTCTCTCTGCTGCCAGACTGGGGATCACTTCCACAGTCAGGAACAGCCGGTGCCACCCAGGAGTGGAGCAGGAGCAGCGGGAGTGGCGAGGATGGGGCTGGGTAGGTGTTGTTTGGACACAACTGGATCAAGCAGCTCTGCCAACTGTGCCTGCTCAGCAGTGGGGGCACCTCTGCCTGAAGCTGTGGGGCACCTGTGCCCAGCTCAGCAGAGGTGTTTTCTCATTGTTCGGATGCCAGTCATGGAGCATCCCCCTACAATGGAAGCATGGGCAGCCCAGGCTGCAGTGCCAGGCAGGGCTTACCCAAGGAGGGTGCTGACCCAGAGTTCCTTCACTACTCGGGAGCTGCCAAAGAAAAAGAGAAGAAACAGCCTCAGTGCCTGCTGTGCCCCAGCAGATGATGCTCCATGAGGCAGGGCAGAGGAGCTGCCCACGAAAAAGAGAAGAAACAGCCTCAGTGCCTGCTGTGCCCCAGCAGATGATGCCCCATGAGGCAGGGCAGAGGAGCTGCCCACCCCTCTGATGGGATGTTGCACCGTGACTCAACAGAAAGGGATGACACAGGAGCCACAGGGCCAGAGGAAGACAAGGGAGCCTTGGCCCCAAGGTCTCCTGCTTTAGAACTGCTGTGTCCACCAATGGAAAATCACTGCTCCTGCAGCCATGGTCTTCCCACTCACAGGACCTGGGGAGCCCCAGGTCTACCATGAACACTGAAGACTGAGGCAATGCAAAAACATTAAATGCCTCTGTCTTTTCTTCATCCCCACTTTTCAGTGGCCACCTTCGTAAAGTAAAGGTCCAAAAGTTTCCTTAGGCCTCCGCTTGTTATTAGCATACTTCAAAAGGCCTTTTGTTGTTGTCTGACAGAACACTGACCAGTTTCATCTCCAGTTGAGCTTTGGCCTTTTGTGATGTCTCCCTCCATGTGTGAGCCACAGCTCAGTATGCTTCCTGAGAAGTTTGACCTTGCTTCTAGAGAGCACACAATTTCTCACAATCCCAGTTCCAGGAGGAGTTCCAAGCTGCTCTTCTGCTGCACCTGCTTGACTTCCATTGACACAATGGGAGTGCTGCTCCTGTGCTTTCAAAAGATGGTTCTTTAAAAGCGAGCAGCTCTCATGGTCCCCTAAGTCCTCAAAAGCTCATGCCCAGGAGAGTCTGCCAAGTAGGTCCCTCTGCAGCTTCAGTTTTGCTCTCTTGATACCCAGGGTAGCAAATCTGCCAAACTTTTCCCTCATGACACCCAAAAGTTTGAGCTCAACTCTTTGGGATTAGGGTGGCCAAGACAGCCTCCCACCATCACACCTCGCATGCATCCCTCTTGATTCAAAAAGAGCAAGTCTAGGAGGGCACCTTTCCTAGTTGGCTCACTGAGTACTTGTGGAAAGAAGCTGCCTTCCTCAGACTTCAGGAATTCTGCAGCCTCACTTGTCCCAGCAGTGACAGTATGGTACTGCCAGCTGAGGTGTGGGAAATTGAAGTCTCCAGAAGGACAAGAGCTACGTATCCAGAGATTTCTCCTGGTTGCCTATATACGCCTATACATGCCTATATATGTGTCTTCGTTTAAGCCCAGCCGGTAATCCAGAACCACACAGCCGCTGTTTCTCCCTCCCTTCTTCCCACCCAATACTCCGCTCCCAGAGAGATGAGAAGGAGAATCAAAAGAATGTTACTCCCACTGGTTGAGATAAGAACAGCCCATTAACTAAGGTATAGCACAAAACCACTACTGCTACCACCAATAATAATGGTGATAAACGAAATAACAAGGGAAGAGAATATAAAAGTGGGAAGGAGAGAAAACAATAAACAGCAACAATGCACAATACAACTGCTCACCACCTGCCGATCAATACCCAGCCTGACCCGAGTAGCGATCTGGGCCTTGTGGGTAACTCCCCCCAGTTTATATACTGGGCATGATGTGTTGTGGTATGGAATAACCCTTTGGCTAGTTTGGTCAGGTGTCCTTGAGCTTCTCCACACTGGCAGAGCATGAGAGACTGAAAAGTCCTTGAATTGTGGTAAGCATTACTTAGCAACCACTAAGACATCAGTTTAACAGTGTTGTTCTCACACTAAAGTTGAAAACAAAGCACTTCACCAACTACTAGGAAGGAGAAAAATAACTGTTAGAGCTCAACCCAGGACAATCAGGAGTGATGCTTGATCTTTGCTATTATGATGAAGCTTGGTTCTGCAGCCTATCTGCTAGCTGATATGGGCCAAAGGGGTGTCAGACACAATTTTAAGAGCTTAGGAGTGTATGCAAGGGAGTTTTAGTGCCCAGGAGTGTCCTGTAGCACAATTTTATTTACAAGTGCAACCACAGATAATGAAGTTATGAAAATTCCTTTAGAAACAGCGCATCTCTAAGTTTTTGAGACTCAAAAACTGTCATATGAGTCAATATTGATAGAATCTATACATAAAGTAGCACATTTGGTACAGAAAAAATAAATCCCCAAATAGGAAAGTTTTATCATCTCACTTGTTATGAGAGATTATCCAAGACATTTTCTATTTTGCCAGCAAACCATTTACAAGTAAAATGTTATACTTAAAGAGCAAGCTTTCAGGCAGGAAGAAGCCCACTGAACTATTTGTATATCTCCACAGCTAAAACTTCAGTGACCTTAAGTGCAAGTTTTGAAGCTAGTATTAATTTTAGAATATTATTCAGGTAAATGAAACATGAAATAATTGCACAGCAATTTTAATGGAGATAATTTTTTTAGAGTTAGAAAAAAGTTTGTTCAAAATTTTTATGCTAAAGACTAAAACAAAAATCCTTTTTTTAATATAAAAGAGTTTGTTTGTTTTTGTTTGTTTTTGTCTAGAGGCAGTCCTCTGCACTAAAAGATATTCTGTATTTCTCAAGGGCTGTAATGTCTAAGATTACTTAATTGAGGAAAATTTATATTAGGTGTAATTTTATTTGAAATAAGTTGTCTAAACCAGTGGATCTATTTCTAAGTTTTTCAACAGTACATTATACTCCTTTTGCATTGCAATTTAAATTTTTCTTTTTAAATTTTTTCAAACTTACATTACACAGCCATTGGATTAATCTGGAGACTGAGGATTCTCAGGGGTAGCAGTTCTGCAGTACCAAAACAGATGAACTGACATGACTGAGCTACATTTATATGAAGTAACATGCTCTTAGTGGGTGCTATATTCTCAAGTGAATTATTCTCATGTTGAGGCTTTGTCACACTGCATGCTTATTAAGTTTTGTTCTGTCTTCTGACTACATACAGTTGTTTTGTCAAGCAATTCAGCACTGAATCACTCACAAGAAATCTCATGAATTTTTTTTCAGATAAGTCCTGCTACTTATATTTTAATTTCATAAAATAGGCAATATGTACTGCAAAAGCAATGTAAAGTAAATGAGGATATGTATAGAATACACACAGTAGGTAACAGAACAGAATTTCCAAGCAACACAAGTCACATTAATATTTCCTGCTCTAAACAGGGTTTTCACACACATATAATTTGGACTAGTAATAACAAAAGGTAAGAAATAGGTTTTGGGAATTAAGAAATTCAGCAGTTTCTTTGGAAATATAACCAAATGTATCTATTATGAACCACAATTGTGTATCTTTTACAGTCAACCCAGCTCTTGTAAAAATGGTACAGATAATATGAACAAAATATTCCTATTTAGATTATTTTCTCTTGATTATCAGCTAAGGGTATTTTTGGATTTGCTTTTCATATTATAATAATGCCCATTAATTCATAGTAGAAACAGAGCCTATTACGCTAAATTCTGCACAAACATGCAATTTTACATTGCAGCTTTTTCAAGATACTCACAAACTAATTTAATGTCTAATGTAAATATACATTACAAAGAATTGATGATGAGCAAAACATTTTCTATGGGGCTTCACAGATCATGTGCGTCACTTGTCATGAAAACTAGCATGATAATCTTCTATAATCGCCACTGGGATTAATTTATTTATTTATTTTTTATTAATTTCTTTTAGACCCTCACAATTCAAATAAGCAGGTATTCTTAAGAGGAAAACCCTTTACTCATGAAGCTACCTCCATTCAAAAGCTCTCAAAAATGCTTCTCATTCAGTTTTGGGCTTTAAATGTGTGTGCGGAAAAAAGTTATCTAGTCAATAACTTAATTCAAATACTCTCCAGTTCCTGAACAAACTGATATTGAACTGTAGTTCTGTGATATTAAACCACTGGATGGGCTTTGCAGAACAGTCATTTAGCATCACTGGTTAG